TGGAAGAGTCTTGACCCTGGGTCAGTTCATATGTTGACCCTGATCCTAGCCCCAGGCTCCTGACCCCTGAGAGAGGAAAACTGTACAGGTGCCCAGCCCGGGGTCTCATCATAGTCATAGTCCTAGTCATGACCCCATCAAGGGGGCCCTGCTGCAGTGTTTGCCTCACCAGCTTTCTCTTCCACCCATGGTGGCCTTCCACACCTCTGTGTAACCCCTCAGACCTCCTTGCCCATTATCCCTTTCCTCCCCTCAGCAGATGATGCCACATCCTTCTTCACAGGAAGAGAATCCTCTGGTGCGAAATGACTTCGTGTAATCGTCCTCAAACCTATGAGTGTCCCTCTGTCCCTCCTCCTCCGTCTAATAGTTGCACCTGCTCAGCATGTTCCTTACCGTCTCTCCTGATACCTGTGCTGCCAGTCACTCCTTCCTGTTTCCGGTTCTCTTCTTGTCCACCGGCCGGGTCTGTGTTCAGATACCTTCTGTCTGAAGAGACAAACCTCCTTCAACCTCATGTCTTCAGCCAGCAACTCTCTCTGTCTCCTCACCTTCACAGCCAAACTTTCTTTGGACAACACCTTTGTGTTGCCCTTTTCTGCTTATAAAAGTAATACATGCCCATTTTTAAAGAGCATTCTGAATTACCTGCAGTCCTACCACTTTGAGAACCATGGTTTATATTTTCTTAAATCGTATGTGGTATACATTATGGTATGTATAACATGCCTGTATACATACACATAAACTTTTAAAAGTAAATGAGTTTGTACTACATATGTATTATCTTTGTTTTTTATATCTTTTAAAAAATACTTTTATTTTTACAAGTCATTTAAAAAAAAACAGAAAATTAGAAAGAAGCAAGACTTGGGGCGCCCGGGTGGCTCAGTTGGTTAAGCGACTGCCTTCGGCTCAGGTCATGATCCTGGAGTCCCTGGATTGAGTCCCGCATCGGGCTCCCTGCTCAGCGAGGAGCCTGCTTCTCCCTCTGACCCTCCCCTGTCTCATGTACTCTCTCTCTCTCTGTCTCTCTCATTCTCGCTCTCTCAAATAAATAAATAAATCTTTAAAAAAAAAAAAAAGAAAGAAAGAGGTAAGGCTTGAAATCCTACCATCTGGAAATTGCCATCCTTACCCCTTCAGTTAACCTTGTCCAGACGTGGGTATACACACGTACTTTTACACCCATGGGATCATACTAGCTGCCCTCACGCTGTTCTGTACCTGCTCAGTGGCTGTACAGCCTCACGGCCGGCTTCCTCCTCCGGCCGCCCCTCCACCCGCCCCTCCACCCGCCGCGGTGAGCCTCTGGCCCTGCTGCTCCACGGAAACTGCTCTTGGCAATGGCTCTGCCGGCTCGCAGCGAGCGCCGCTGGACGAGGCACGGCGGCATTTGAACGTGTTACCCTCTTCTGTGTTTTCACTGCACATCTTCTCTTGGTTTCTGTAATACAAGCTCTCCTCCTGGGTTTCTTCCTGCTTTTCTGGCTGCTGCCTTGCTTTCAGTGTGAGCATCTTTTCTTTTGTCTTATCTCAGAAATAGTTCTTTCCATCATTATGCTGTCTGAGCCCTCTTTGGCCCTGTTTTCCTGGATCTGGCTCAGATGGCTGTTTTCCGTGTCATGGCTCTTGCCCTGTTGTGTTGTACTTGCCTGTGTTCTGCCCCAGACTGTAAGTTTCTCAGCACAGGGGGCGTATCTCTCATGTTCTCCACAGAGCTGTGTGGCTTAGCACAATTCAGGCACAGTTGATTTTTTGTTAATGACTGAAAGAATTTTTTTTTGTGCTGGCATCTTAGACTTGGGGGCCATTAAATCTGAATGTCAAGGAAAGAGAATGTAAATTATTCAGCACAGGGTTATTTTTAAATACGAGGGACACAGTGGATAGAAACAGTTTGTACAAAATTCACTCTGATCCAAATCCTTTCTTTCTTTTTAATTTAAACAACATTATATTGGAGGTCAGGGGATGACAGGGAAACAGGAACAGGCTCCTACCTTTTCCACAGAGTCATGTCCTGCCTGTCTCCCCATCCTTATTCCCCTCCACAGAGACCTGGCTTTTCTTCTGGTTCTCACAGCTACAAAGCCCTACCTCAGGATCTTTGCTCTGGTTGTGCCCACTGCCTTCTAAGCTGTGCCCAGTCCCTATCTGAGTTCCCAGGCCTCATGGGGCTGCTTTCATCATACCTTTCAGTCCACATGTTCCCTCCTCAGCAAAGTGTTACCTGACCACTCCTGTGAAGTGACCTGTGTTTTTCTCCTCTTACTATAGCACCCTGTTGTGTTTTTATAACACCTATTACTATCTGAAATTATCTTGCTGTTGTATTTATTTGCTTACTTATTGGCTCTCTGCCAGTCTGGTTTACCAGTTGATCTCCTATACCTAGGACAAGGTCAGCGCAAAATGGGTATTTCCTAAGTATTTGTCAGATGATTGGTCTGTCATAAGAGATGGCCTGCTTTCTAGGGCTCTACAGTCCTGTTCCACTCAAGTTCCTGGCCTGTCTCCATCTGCTGGACACCATCCATCCCTCACCTAGATACCTGCCACCCATGAAGCCCAAACCCAAGGCCTTCTGTCTCTGAAATCCTTTTTGGCACAAGGCAGCATGTAAATTCAAATGCAAGACTCTAAGCAAGTACATTGAAGAATGTGAAGACTTGTTAAATATGATACTCAAATTTGCAGTTTTCCATAGATGCTGAGAGAGATACACAAATACGTAAGTTAAATGACTAAGAGAAGCACAAAAGTGTTAGGAATTCAAAGCACTTGCTTGCCCTCACTATTAACTTTATTCTCCAGGGCAGTACTTCCCAACTATGCACCTGTAGAAAATGATAATATTGATAAAGCACTCTGACCTGCATGAGATTGCTCAAGGCCAGAGAGAACTAGACGCAGGCCTCAGGCCCATTCAAGGACTAAGGAACCCATGACCCATTCGCAGTGAATAGTGGCTGGTAGCATTTAGGGATTGACCATAGCTCTCCATGAGGACATCGTTTTCAGATACTGTATATTTATTTTCTAGTGAACATGTGGAAATATTCTTAAAATCTTGGTGTTTTTTACTTCAGAATCTTACTTTCTTCCTTACCTAGTACAGAAGGGAATATGAAGCTGAAATTGTTATACTAGTATCTTTTTCACTTTGAAGAATAGACTTAAAAAGATAATTTCTCATAGACTTTCCCTTTTTTTCTTTGTAAAGGATTCTCCAGCTTTCCGTTGCACAAACAGTGAAGTGACAGTTCAGCCCAGTCCCTATCTGAGTTACCGACTTCCCAAGGACTTTGTAGACCTGTCTACTGGCGAGGATGCTCACAAACTCATAGATTTTCTTAAACTGGTAAAGTATATGTGTACTTAGTACACACATGTGTACACCTTTGTTTTCAAATTGACTTTGTAATATTTCACTGTACTCATACACTCCCTAGATTTTATTTGGTTAGGTCATTTTATAATGAAATAATATAAAGTAAGCTGAAGGAATAATTTATTGCTTAGAATGATAGAAAATGTGTTTTATGATTATGCTTTTTAAATAATTTTCACAATACTTGTGCTTTTGAAGAAAGTCTATATACTGTTAATAGAGCTAAGAGAAGGTCCAGCTCTCTGCTGTATTATTCAGGGCGAATGTGTGTATTTGTACTCGTGTGTGTGTGTTTCTATGTGGGAATGTTTGTACAAATGGAAGAAAGAGAAGTATTCAAATACCTGAGGATAATGTGGCCAGGAGCCAAAGTGATAAACTTGTCTGATGAATTAGTTAAGGCATGTTTTTCCATGATGATTTTCAGCCATATCTGTTGCCAAGAAAATTATACTTGCTGACAGAAAAAGTGATCTTGGCTGAACAAATATCCCAAATATACAAATAATGTATCTTGGTTTCCTTTGACAGAAAAGAAATCAGCAAGAGGATGACTGATTAGAGTGCCAGAGTTAAGTCCAAGGTAAAGAGGAAACCACCTTGACATCAGGAGCCTGCTCTGAGCTCACAACTTCCTGTTACCCCACTCAGGTTGGGGTGGGAGGCAGAGTGAAATCAATAGCTTTTTATATCCCTGTATATTAAGCTGGGAAAAAAATGGAGGGACTTTGCTACTTGTAAAAATAAATAATAAATAGATCTTAAATATAGGAAACCATACTGTTCTGATGATAAAATACCTTCTCTGAAATACCTCACTCTTGGCTCAGTCTTTTGAGATTTATCTATGTTTTCTTGTGCTATTTATCTATGTTTCTTGTGCTACCTGTTGGGTAGTGGGCAAATTTATATTTGTTATACAGAAATGGGTTCTTTTTTAATCATTACTTTTTCATGGAAAAAATAGAACCTTCTATTACTATAGAAAATATTTTTCCTACTTTGAAAAGATTTTCATATAATTTTTCTATTGGTTTATCTTTGGTTTGCATATAGCTAAAAATAATACAGAATTCTCAAGCTATCAAATAACCAGAAAATGCCAGTATATTACAGTTAGCTTAATATGCCGAGACACTCTCCTATGTGCTTTTTGTTTATTGTTTTACATCCTGGAAAATTTTTAAAGAAATTGACATTACAGTTTCCCAGGGCATCTATCTAATGTGGTATCAATATTTTAATAGTTGGAGATACGTTTTTCAACTTAGGAGTGCACATTTGAATGCTCGCATAGGAAGATAGAAAAATGGAGTAGAATTTCCCCTTTCTGTGTGGTTATGGCAGATTATACATAATGATGAGAGATTTCTTTTTTGGTTATCTCAAACTCCGTATCTTTTTGTGTGGTTATAATCACTTGGATATTAGTATTTTAAAAACAAAATACACAGATCAAATTGTGATCTTTGTACTCAGTATATCATATACCATTTCTGAGGCCAGTTGTTTGAAGTTGAAGTGCTTCGAAATATTTTTGTTTTTTAAACTGCAGTTGAGGGACTTGACTGTTAACTCATAATAGAGCGATTTATTATCATGAGTTGACTTAACCTTAGCTTTGGAAGCTGGCTTCATCAAGATGGTACTTCACCAGTCCAAAAAAAAAAAAATGTATTTAATACCAACTGAAAAAAATTGGACTATAAATAATAAGACTTAAGCAAAATTTGGCAAATATTTTATAAAAAGTACAATTCTTGGTATAAAACTCACTAAATTTTTGCATTAATTTTCCTGGGGCATTATTGAGTTCAACTCTCACTTTTTAAAAATGTGATTTTTATACATTATTTCCCTAGTATATTTAATTTTTGTTGATTATCTTGATGTTAATAGTAAATATAGGACAATGTGCAGGAAATATTCTCCTACATTCAAATATCATTTATGCTTGCCTGAAGATTAGTTTTGAATTATCCTTTTATTTCACTGGCATTATCTGTTCTTTTTTTTTTTTTTTTGCAGTACTTCATGTTTGTGCTTGAATTTAGAAAGGGAATTTGTTAGCTTGGTCCTGAAATCCTACCTTTTGAAGTCAGTTTAGTCAAGTTGGGACAGACATGTTTACTTTGTCCTGCAGAACAGTGGCATGTAGCATGGGCCTCCAATACAGCAGACTGCCAAAAAGTTCTGTTTTTAAGTCTCATTTTCATGTGTATTTTCATAAACTTTTCCCATCTAGAGCCATTTCTCTTAGGGTGATTGAGGATTGTTTCTGCTGTTAAAAAACAAACAGAAATGTTACATGACTGAGTTTTTTGGCTTAAGTTTGTTTTCTTACCTATAAATTAGGAAAATAATTATCGAAAATTCATGCATTTGTTAAATGAGAGCCCATGTAACGCTTTTCATATAGTGTGTCAATACATACATGCTAAACCCCCAATACATGGTAGCTGTCATTATCATTCTGCTTTGCAGACCTCTGTGTATTAAAGGCAAGTTCTTTTTTTAATAGAATCAAAAAAATTTTGAGTGGCAAAGGACTTCAGAGATCATTCGGCCCAGTTTCTTTTCCTTTTTTCCTTTCTTCCTCCCTGTCCTTTCTTCCTATTTTAACACAGCAGAAAACTGCTGCCCAGAGGAGTTAAGATTTGTCCAAAATTATAGCGGAATCAGGACCACAAAAGAACTTCTATTCTAATGCTGTTCTCTAAGGGCTTTTAGCCTAGTCTTTTTTATAGATAGGTTTCAACCAGAACAAATTAGTATTTTAATAATAGAATTTTCCAAAAAATTTTTTTCTTGAGTATAGTTGACTAGTTGACACACAACATCACATTAGTTTCAGGTGTACAACATAGTGATTCCATAAGTTTATACATGATGCTATGTTTACAAGTGTAGCTAGGAATTTTTTTTTTTAAATAAAGGTAAGTACAAATTCACGTTTGTGTGGAAGAACTAGATGAGAAGAGATACTAAATACAGAAATTAAATGAGGAAATAACTGTCTCTGAAAGATTAATTCAGTTCCATGTTTATATTAACCAGGCGCATCCTGAGAGGTGACTTAACCATTTTTAGACATTTTAAAGACAAAATTCCTATTTAGTTCATGGCTATTGTTGTATTTACCTGTGTTGGCTCACAGAAAACAGCTTCAGTAAGTAATCTAAGAAAATAAGGAATGATTAGCTCACCACACACACAGCACAGGTGTGTCATGTGTACACATGGAGAGGCTCGAGGAAAAGGAAATGTAAGACCTAATAAAAAAGTGGTTGGGCAAGGAGTCACGCATTAATTATCTGAAGAGAGAATGCATTCAAATGCGTCTTTTTTCAATCAAGGGAAACCAAACCAAAACACCGCTGTGAGGACAGACAGACGGGTAGACGTGGGGCCACAATGCTGCCGCAGCGACCCGTCCCTGGGGCAGAGCCTTGTGGGCCGGGCGGGTGTTGGGTGCTGTGCGCCGCACAGACCGCGCGAGGGGGCACCGCTCCGGAGCGAGCAGCCGCGGAGGTGGGCACCGTGGACACAAGACACCTGCTCTGGTGAGCGGGGGCTCCTGAGGTGGTGATAGGGAAGCGAGACCAGAGGTGGGGAGAAGCCAGCCACGTGAAGGGGGCAGGGACGCCCCACGGGAGCGTGCGCGTAAGCACACGCCAGCCCCGAGGCGCCCCGAGGCGGGAGAGGCGGCTGGGGTGAGGGCCGGGGCGCTGCCCGTGGCTGCTGACACGTTGGGATTACTTTCTTGCGGGCGGTGGGAAGCCAGTGCGGGGGTTGAAACAAGGGAGACAACTGGTCCGGGTTAGGTTTTCGAAGTGGTTTTCTGGTTTGTGTGGAAAGCAAATCGGCTGGGAGAAGGATGCCTCGTGGCAATCATGTGGGTGGCCTTGGGGGCAGCCAAGGGGGCCGGGCCGGGGGGCGCCGCTGAGGGGGAGCACGGGCCGGATGCAGGGCGGGAAGGAGAAGCAGGGAGCCCACCCGAGCCGCGGCCTCGGGTTTGAGCTGTCAGGCGCAAGGGGACCGCAGTTTGTCTAATGGGAAACACGAACAGAGGAGGGAAATCGAGATAGTGGTCTTGGACACGGAGAACCGAAGATCCCAGTGACTCACCCAAAGATGTGCAGACACAGTTGGATTCAGCCATCAGAAGCTGTGTGGAACGAGTGGTAGGAGTGGGTCGGGAAGGCATGCATGGCACACGGGAAGGAAATCCAGGGATGGCTCTGTTCTGTGTGGGATACAGCAAGGAAGTTGAACAAAAAACAATTGTTCTTACATATTATGAGCAGCAGTCTTTCAATTTGTTAAAAGACTTAATGTGGGGGGCTCCTGGGGGGCTCAGTCGGTTAAGCATCCCACTCTTGTTTTTGGCTCAGGGCATGATCTCGGGTCTGAGATTGAGGGCCTAGTTGGGCTCCAGGGCAGTCTGCTCAAGGTTCTCTCCCGCTCCCTCTGCGCCCCGCCCCCCATGCTCGCTCGCTCTCTCAAATAAATAAATAAAATCTTAAAGAAAAGACAACGTGGGTATATAATGTGAATTTAGAATTCTTTTTTTCCTTACAGAGTTTTATGTATAAAGTACAAATTTTCACACAATAGAAGTTGACACTATATGGCAATATAATTATTTTGAAATTCTCTTATTGATCATCATTAGTTTTGTTAAAAGTCTCAGTGTGAACCAAATATGACTTAAATTATATTTTCTGCATCACTGATTTTCTTGACTGTTTGAGGCTTGGGTTTAATATGTAGAGTTCTTAGGTGGATCATCTCTTCATGGATTTATGGACTTTTAGTCAGGTAAAGACTTAAAGTGAGGGGCGCCTGGGTGGCTCAGATGGTTAAGCGTCTGCCTTCGGCTCAGGTCATGATCCCAGAGTCCTGGGATCGAGTCCCGCATCGGGCTCCCTGCTAGGTGGGGAGCCTGCTTCTCCCTCTGCCTCTCTCTCTCTCTCTCTCTGACTCTCATGAATAAATAAATAAAACATTAAAAAAAAGAAAGACTTGAAGTGAATTTCTCCTGCAAATTACAAATGCCCTGTCCCCCCCCCCCAAAATCTGTAAAATGTCAGCACTAATTTTGGAACAAGGCAAGCAGAGAGTCAACTACCCATTTATAGTTGTATATAAAAGCAATCATTGGGAAATTGAGTATAAATAACCTTATAACCTTCAAAATAAGCTACAGCAATTCTTAATAATTTGAGGAGAAATCAATTTCTCTGAGAATCTAGTGAAAGCTACGGGCTCTCCTGAGAGTGTCATAGATCCCAGATTAAGATCCCTGTCAGAAGCCATGTAGAATCAGATTGGAAGCCAAAGATTCTGTAGTTTTAAGAATGGAGCCATTTCAAAAAAAAAAAAGAATGGAGCCGTTTCATAATGTGTAGTGTACCGCACTTTTAATAGTTTCTAACAATGGTATTCTTATAATTCATTTATAATGCATCCATTTCAGGTTGTCAGCTTTCATAAAGTAAACTGTGTGTTAGAATTCAACCAGAGAAGCAGAACCAGTATGAGATGCATAAGTACATGCATATAGATGTGTATATAAAATCTCACTACATGTGTGTGTGTATGTAGACATTATATACACACATAACCCTTAAGTACATACATTTGTGTGTGTAAATAAAATAAGGGTTTTATTACAAGGGATTGATTTATGCAGTTGAGGTGGGCTGGCCACGCAAGTCTGAAGTCTGTAGACCAGGCTGGAACTCTGTGGGCATGGGCCAAAGCTATTGTCCACAGGTTGATTTTCATCTTTTAATCTCAGGAAAGCCTCAGCCCA